TTCCCCTATGTTCATCTGTTTTGTTTCTTAAATTTCACATATGAGTGAAATCATATGCTATTTGTCTTTCTCGGACTGCCTTATCTCGCTTAGCATAATACCCTCTAGTTCCATCCATGTTGTTGCAAATGGCAAGATTTCATTCCTTTTTGATGGCTAAGTAATATTACACTATGTATATAGACCACATCTTTATCCATTCATCTGTCGATGGACATCTGGGCTCATATTTTAGCTACAGTCGACACTGCTGCTATAAACATTGGGGTGCATGTGCCCCCTTGAAACACTATGTATTCTTTGGATAAATACCTAGTAGTGCAATTGCTTGGTCATAGGGTAGCTCTATTTTTAACTTTTAAAGAACCTCCATACCATTTTCCAGAGTGGCTGCACCTGTTTGCATTCCCACCAATAGTGTAAGAGGGTTCCCCTTTCTCCACATTCTCATCAACATCTGTTGTTTGCTGAATTGTTAATTTTAGCCATTCTGGCTGGTGTGAGGTGGTATCGTGGTTTAGATTTGTATTGCCCTAATGCCGAGTGATGTTGAGCATTTTTTCATGTGTTTGGCATAACTTTACAAAAATAAAAGCAGTAAGGACTAAGAAATTTCAGGGGGTGAGAAAAAAAAGACTAAGAAATTTCATCACTAAGGACTAAGACATCATTAAAGATTAAGAAAAAGCTTGTATTTTAAATGTCGGTCATCTTTATCCCTCGACAAATATTCTAGTTTTGTGCTACACCAAGTTTATCCAGTTCATCTGTATCTAGTTTACTAGAGCTTTCCACAATTAGTTTACTACATAAATGTAAAAATAATAGCATTCTTTGATTGAATCAGTGCCCGAGACTTTAAGTTGGCTGCAGAATTTAAGCTGCACAACTTCCAATCATTTCCTATTAAGAGTGCTGTTTCTATTTTTCAATTTTGTATTTAAATTCTAGTTAGCTAAAATAGACTGTAATACTGGTTTCAGGAGTAGAATTCAGTGGTTCATCACTTACATTTAAACACCAAGTACTCAACACAAGGGCCCTCCTTAATACCCATCATTCATTTAGTCCGTCCCCAGCCCCCCCTCCACTCCATCAACCCTCAGTTTGTTCTCTATAGTTAAGACTCTCCTATGGTTTGCATCCCTCTGAGTGCTGTTTAAATTAAAAGACGTTTAGTCTCTACTACCCAAAGCAAACTACACATTTAAAGCAATCCCTCTCAAAATACCCCCAGCATTTTTCACAAAGCTAGAACAAACAATCCTAAAATTTGTATGAAACCAGAAAACACCCCGAATACCAAAGCAATCTTGAAAAAAGAAAGCAAAGCTGAACGCATGGCCATTCCAGACTTCACAAGCTATAGTATAAAGCTGTAGTCATCAAGAAATTATAGTACTAGCACAAGAATACACACATAGATCAATGGAACAGAATAGAAAACCCAGAAAAGGACCCACAACTGTATGGTCAACTAATCTTAGACAAAGCAGAAAACAATATCCAATGGAAAAAAGACAATCTCTTCAACAAATGGTGTTGGGAAAACTGGACGACTTTCTTACACCATACACAAAAATAAATCCAAAATGGATGAAAGATTTAAATGAAACATCAAAATCCTAGAGGAGAACATAGGCAGCAATCTCTTTGACCTGAGCCATAGCAACTTCTTACTATTTTTTTTAAGATTTTATTTATTTGAGAGAGAGAGAAAGAGAGATAGCGAGAGAGAGAGCACAAGCAGGGAAGAGAGCAAGAAGCAGGTTTCCTGCGAGCAGGGAGCCCGATGTGGGGCTCGATCCTAGGACCCTGAGATCATGACCTGAGCCAAAGGCAGACGCTTAATTGAGCCACCCAGGCACCCCCACAACTTCTTACTAGACACGTCTCTGGAGGCAAGGGAAACAAAAGCAAAAATGGACTATCAGGACTTCACCAAGATAAAAAGCTTCTGCACAGTGAATGAAACAGTAAATAAAACTAAAAGGCAGCCTATGGAATGGGAGAAGCTATTTGCAAATGACATATCTGATAAAGCGTTAGGATCCAAAATCTAGAAAGAACTTAACAAACTCAATACCCCAAAACCAAATAATCCAGTTAAGAAATGGGCAGAAGACATGACTAGACATTTTTCCAAAGATATCCAGATGGCTAACGGGCACATGAAAAGATGCTCAACAACACTAATCATCAGGGAAATACAAATCAAAACCACGATGAGATATTTCACACCTGTCAGAATGGCTCAAATTGACAACACAGGAAACAACAGATGTTGACAAGGATGCAGAGAAAGGGGAACCCTCTTATACTGCAAATTGGTACAGCCGCTCTGGAAAACAGTATGGAGGTTCCTCAAACAGTTAAAAATAGAGCTACCCTATGACCCAGCAATTGCACTACTAGGTATTTACCCAAAAGATATAAAAACACAGATTCAAAGGGGCACATGCACCCCCAATCTTTATAGCAGCACTATCCACAATAACCAAAATATGGAAAAAGCCCAAATGTCCATCAACTGATGAATGGATAAAGATGTGGTGTACACACACAAAAAATAGAATATTACTCAGCCATCAGAAAGAATGAAATCTTGCCATTTGCAATGAGAAGGATGGAACTAGAGTGTATGATGCTAAGTGAAACAAGTCAGTTACAGAAAGACAAATACCACATGATTTCACTCATGGAACTTAAGAAACAAAACAGATGAACAAGGGGAAGGAGAAAAAAAAGAGAGAGAGGGAAACAAACCATAAGAGACTCAACTATAGAGAACAAACTGTTGATGGAGGGATGGGGGCAGGGGGCTAAGTGGGTGTTGGGTATTAAGGAAGGCACTTGTAATGACAAACACTGGGTATTATATGTAAGTGATGAATCACTAAATTTGAGTCCTGAAAGCAATATTACACTATAGCTTAACTGGAATTTAAATAAAAAATTTGAAAAAATATATTTAAAAGACATTTAATCCTCCGTGTCACATCATTGTGTTATTGATGCAATTTGTAAGTTGTTTTTTTCTTATATTCTGCAAACCATTTTGATTTGGCTTTACAATATGTTTGCAACTTGAAATTAATAAAAATCCTCATTGCTTAAAAAAATAAAATCTGCAATTCAGAAGTTTGTTATGTTGTCTATTCTTTCCTGTTCTCATTCTAGATTGTTAGATTTCACTTTTCTGTACTTGGCTCTTTCTACTATTGGAAAACGGCCAGTTGACATCTGTGGAGTTATTTGGGAAGGAATAGAAGCTTTCATGTTCGGGGCACCTGGGTGTCTCAGTTGGTTAAGCAACTGCCTTTGGCTCAGGTCATGATCCTGGAGTCCTGGGATTGAGTCCCGCATCAGGCTCCCTGCTGAGCAGGGAGTCTGCTTCTCCCTCTGACCTTCCCCCCTCTCCTGCTCTCTCTCTGTCATTCTCTCTCTCAAATAAATAAAAAAATCTTTAAAAAAAAAAAGCTATCATGTTCTAGAGGCCAGTGTTTTTATTACAAATGGGACTGAAATTGGAATACTTGAAGAATAGAAACATTGTATTTAGTAATACAGGAACTAAATGAAATTGAAACTGTTCTCAGTCTTTATAACACTGTAACAGCAAGCTTTCCAAATTTTATTTGATCAGGCTCACATTTCAAACAATGGATTGAAATAGTGGTCTATACCCTTAACTTTGCTTACTTACCTTTCATTTTCCCCTCAACTGCAATGTAAAGCATGTACTATGTGCCACATGCCCACAATGAATAAATATTCAGTACTTTTACTCCCCTTTTCTGTCTCTCTCTAAACCACTAACAGTGCCCTCTGGTCAAACCCAATGGACTGATGTTGCCATGGCATTACTGGACTTATGCAAGCATTGGGCACTGACCATTTCCTCACATGGGATCCAAAACCTCACATGTCTTGGGGTGCCTGTGTGGCTCAGTCGGTTAATTGTCCAAGTCTTGGTTTCAGCGCAGGTCGTGATCTCGGGAGCCTGGGATCAAGCCCCGTGTTAGACTCTGTGTTCAAGGCAGAGTGTGCTTGGGATTCTCTCCCTCTACAGGTGTGCTCTCTCTCTCTCTCAAATAAATAAATCTTTTTTAAAAAGGGCCATATGCACCCCAATGTTCATAGCAGCGATGTCCGCAATAGCCAAACTGTGGAAAGAGCCGAGATGCCCTTCAACAGATGAATGGATAAAGAAGACGTGGTCCATATATACAATGGAATATTACTCAGCCATCAGAAAGGATGAATACCCAACATTTACATCAACATGGATGGGACTGGAGGAGACGATGCTAAGTGAAATAAGTCAAGCAGAGAAAGACAATTGTCATATGGTTTCACTCATATGTGGAATATTAGAAATACCATGGAGGACATTGGGAGAAGGAAGGGAAAAATGAAGTGGGGGAATTGGAGGGAGAGATGAACCATGAGAGACTATGGACTCTGAGAAACTGAGGGTTTTAGAGGGGAGGGGGGTGGGGGTATGGGTGAGCCCTGTGATGGGTATTAAGGAGGGCACGTACTGCATGGAGCACTGGGTGTTATACGAAAACAATGAATCATGGATCACCACATCAAAAACTAATGATGTATTGTATTGTGACTAACATAATAAAATAAAAATAAATAAATGATTGTAAATACAGACGGCATCTTATGCCTCTTGTGGCCTGTAAGGACAACAAAGTTTGTGCTGAAAGGCAACCATCTGGGTCAGATATTTTCAAGTTGACAGATATGCACATAACTTCATCTTGACCTTCTTTCTTTCACTAAACTCAGTACTCCTGTTCTGATTGTTATCCCCCTCTGTAATGACTCCCACAGAAAACAAAAATCCACACCCCGCCCCTGCATTTTCTCTCCACTGAGTTCTTTCCTCCATAGCTACACAAAAGAAAGGTGTCTAATCCAGACCTCTTTCATATGACAGTTTGTCAAATTTTGTGTATAATCATGGACATGTTTCTCTTTTGCAGGTTAAATATCCCCAGCCCCTTTGATTATGTAATGTATTTATCACTATCCTAGTCACTCCTCGAAATTGGCCAATTGTGTCAGTGTCCCATAAACACATGTCATCAATGCTGAACAGTGAGTCCAGAAATGTCCTAATTAATCCATTTTTCAGGCCTGAAAGGCTTTGTACTTATTCTTAACTAGTCACCTTCTGCATAACATTACCTTATCTACATATGGCACTTTACAGCAAGCACATTTTCCTTTTGTACTTCTCCCACCTCCATCCCTTCCTGGTTCAGGCCCTCAACCCCAGGCCTGCATCCTGTGTCCGTTTTTTGCTTCCTTGCCTGCTGCTGCCATCCCTGTACTCCTTACACAATACTGCCACATGTGCGTCAGCAAACACACATTGAACACCTGTGATGTGCAGTGCTCCTGCTTCAGGGCATCGCTTATGAGTAAGACAAGGCCCGTCCTTTTACTACAGAGGTGGCAGCCGTCATCTGACTATACCAACATGTAGATGTTGCATGCATGGATGCACACCCACGACTGAGGGTGGAAAGCGGCATTCCAGCATAGGTTAATGGAGATGGCATTTGACTAAACTTTTAAGAATGGTTGGAATTAGATGCAGAAGAGCATTCCAGGCTGAACTAGGGGCTAGGGCATGACGGGTCTAAATGCACAGTGATTCAAGGGGGCTTCTGAGCAGAGCAGAGGGACAGAAGCTCTGGATGTGTAGCAGGATGAGCGGTACTAAGTGTTCTCCAAAGGAAGATCAGAGCAGGTAAAGAATGATCCTGAGAGCCATCCTTGAGAGTCTGTTCTGGATGATCCGCAGCCTTGAAGAAGGGGCTGTTGTGCTCGCAACTGCACTTCCACCTCTCAGTGGAAGACACTGAAGTCTCAACATTTGGACAAGGAGCTCTGCCTAGCAGCTCTTGAAGAGGCGGCTGGAAAGCAGACCAGGAGCATCCCCAACCCTGGCAGTGCGCCCTTGCGCGGGTCATTAATTTGCGAGAACCTCCCTGGCAGAGCTGTGGGGAGGATTAAGCGCGGTATTGGGTCCCAAGAGGCCACACTTGAGTGTGGCCTCACTAACTTACTACTGGGACGATTTGGGAGGGTGGCCCCCCGCGGTCGCTCCACGCCAGGAACCGGTTAGCCGGGAGGCGGCAGCAGCCTCGAGAACTCCCATCCGCTTTTCCGCGGGCGTGCGCGAGCAGTTGGAAGACTACCCTGGGCACGCGGAACTCCACCACAGCAGCGTAAGACCGTGCGCAGCGCCCTTTCCTCTGATTGGGCGGGACCAGCCGGGGGCGGGGGGGCGGACAAAAGAGAAGGCAGAGATGGGTTAAGCATGGGAAGAAGGCGGAGCCTTGTCAGAGAGGGAGGCGGTTTTTGGCTCCCAGTGGTAGCCCTGCCCCCTTGCCGCGTTTTGGGCCAGGGCTGACGACGCTGAACAGTCAGGGGGTAATTACGCCTTCTAGTCATCCCAGCAACCGGTGACGCGGCCCGCAAGAGGCCGACCACTGGCCAGCCGGGGAAAGCGGGACTGGAGCGTGACTCCCTATCCCGAGGCGCCTTCCCAGCTCGCCCCACTCGGCGGCCGCGCGCTCCGCCAGCCCCTTCCTCCCTTCAGCGCCCTAGTCCCGAAGTCCGGGAGGCGGGGGTCGGCGAGCCAGCTGAGTGGGAACCGCGTGGCGTACAAGGAGCCAGTCGGCGACCGGTGAGGGGACTGAGGGGCTGGGAGGGCAGGGTTGGCGCGGGGCAGCGATCCCCAACTGTCGCGCGTCTTCTCCCCTCCGCTCCTGGCGGTTAGCGTCTGCAGCTGTCGGGAGCGCCGCCCCGGCGACAAGTGACGCGGAGGCACGGCGGAACGTGCGATTGGTCAGTTGACGCTCGCGGCCGCCAGGCGGCCTGCCCCTCCCAGGCCTTGCCCTCTGCTTGTCCTTCCCCGTCTTCCCCCGGTGACCTTCGGGGCCGCATCGCCAGGCTAAGGCGGCTTAAAAAGGGCAGTGTCAGGCTTCGTCGGCGTTAATCGATCCCCACTGCTCACTACGTTTTTGGTGTGCTGGCGCCAAGGGCGAGGAGCTGGGGTAGGACCGCGGGTGGGAAGTTTCGCCAAGGAGAATCTGCCTAGCAACTCGTGACGAAAGTTGACTGAGGCGCCCGGGATTGGCTGGGCTGCGACTTACTCAGGTTTGAGCACTTTCCCGTACAGTACCAGGTAACAAGACTTAAACTGAGTAACCAGGCTCCCAGATTACTCCGAAAGCTCCCGGGGTGTGGCGTGGGGCTACAGAATACCCACGCTGCTCTAACCATGTGAAGAAGGGTTCTTTGGGGGTCGGGGAAGGACTTAAAAAATTTGCAGAACGTTTAGGATCCTTAAGGTAGAGGTAGGAGTCAGACCCTGTATTCAGGATCCCTCTTCAGAGGAAGTGTCCTGAAGAGGGTAAAACCTAAAGACTCAGCAACCACAGTTCTCAGACTTACACATATTCTAACCTTCTTTTCATATAAAACGTCCTAATAGCTTCCTTTACTGAGTATTCCCAGGCAGGAGTGCCAGACACCTGACGTCCCCTGTCCAAGGTCACACGGCTAGTAATGGAAGAACCAGAATTTGGACACTTACCTCTGTGCTTCCCGTGCGGATGTTGCAGTTCCATTTCAATAAACCAAAGCAGAGTATTTGCAGTATATGCAGTAGATAGAGCTATGGAGGATAAGAGGAGAGGCCTCCTCCTCCAATAACCTAATATTTGAAAGAATTGTATTCCCGATTAAAACGTCATTTTTAAAAAGCATTGAGTGGCCTCTGTGTGCCCAGCGTCTTGCTAGGCCCAGGGAAGGTGCAAAACACCATGTGTTGTCCCTTCCCACATCCCAGTCCTGGGGTGCTCTGACCCCTTTGGGTTGCAGTTTTGCCCATGTGTCAAAGGAACATAGAAAACAGACTATCTTACTACGTATGTTCTCTCCCTGCCAACATCCCTATCTTCTCCACACATCCCAGTTCACAGGAAAATCTTGGGGAAGGCAAAACTTCCAAAAGAGTGTACTTGGATCATGATCAGGCTTGGGCACCTGGGTTGGAAAGCAGCTGTCATTCCTATTTCCAGCAGTTCTTGACACATGCCAGCCTGGCTCTGAAGCTGAAACGGGCAACTTCTTTTGGAGTACTGGACCTTGCTTCTGTTAGGTCAGGAGTAGCCATTCTGGTGCTCTAGATTCCACACTCCACCCTTACCTAGAAAAGGGGCTGAAGCCTTCCTAGAATGGATTGGGACTACTATTCCCTGTTACTTTCATTGATTATTCAGAATAAAGCCAAGTAAGGGGATGGGGCTGTGGGGTGGGAAGGTGCTCAGCAGAGCTTCTCTGAGGAGGGGTTATTGGAGCAGAGCCCCAAATGAAGAGGGGAAGGGACTTCACAGGTGGAACTATAAATGGAAAGGCCCCAAAGTAGGCAATTAATGTGAATAATACGTTCCATTTAATGCAATATATTCAAAATACTACCATTTCAACATATAATCAACATTAAACATTATTAATGAGATATTTTGCATTTTTTTCATACTAAATCTTTGAAATTAGGAGTGTATTTGACCCTTACAGCATACCTCAATTTGGACCAGCCACATTTCAAGTGCCCAGTCACATATGGCTCATGGCTACTGTGGTGTACAGTACATCTGGGACAGCCCTCAGCCCCACTCCTGCACCACATTTACCCACCTCTGGCTTCACGATGGAGGAATTGCAAGATGATCACTTGTCTCTTCATCCTGCCCCAGAAATACTGGCCTGGCAGAACAGATAACCAGGGAAGAAAATCTTTGTACTAACTGAAGGACACAACTCAGAAGAAAAAGAACGAAACTGCTCTCATGTTAGATTGTTAGTTAATGTACTAAATCCTGATTAATTACCATACTCTTGATCTGTAATATGTTAGATATGGTTAGATGTGGTATGAAATACCTGCAGTATCTTTATTAAGAAACAAAAATAAAGTGATATATAAAACTCAGAAGTTTATTTTTAATCACTTATGAATGTTAACTTTTCATTAGCTTATCTTACTTAGTACCTGTTTTCAATTACATCTATAGTATTTGTAAATATTTGTGAGTATTAAATGCTTGGAAAGTATGAAATATTTTATTTTTTTCTAAAATATTTTGAAGTATTGAACGATTAAGACTTTTCACCAACTCACACATAATTACCGCCTTCCCTCTTTCCAAGCCCTCCTGTACTTATTTTTTTTCCTCCTGTACTTACTTTTTTACTTAAAATGAACTTGGTAGTATAACAATTTGAAAACTCTCAATTGGGAAAGTGGTTAGAATAGTCTAGAAATTATTCCTTTCTTTTTTTACAGTAATATTTTATTATTTTTTTTCTTTCAGATTTCCTCCCAGGCATAGACCCCTATGCTTCCAGGGCAAACTCCAGCATGGGGTGAGGTACAGAAGAGAGACTTGAGGGGTGTACTCTGGCACTCAGTTACCAAACCTGCACCCTAGATCAGGGTCTGTCTCACCACATCTGTAATGGGGAGAAATTGTATCTTTGTTTATACGCCATTTATGTATGCATGTTTGTGTTTGTGCATTTGTCTTACCTTCCTTAGGCCCGTGCCCTGGGAGGCAGAGGGTGGGTTCGCAGAAACTTGGCCTGAGAGGTGCCATGGTCCCTGGAGTCCCTCAAGTGAGGTGGAACCCTCACCAGCATGTGCATTGCTCTCTTTGACATTTGGATCAAACATTGAGTCCTGAGGGAAGGTTTGACTCACATGAGAGCAAACATTCTTTTGAACTGACAACCCAGAATAGAGCCCAAGTATCTGGGCTAAAAGTTCCCTCTGGAAGAACTGAGAGATTCTCTCTAAAGACTGCTTTCAGATCTGCAGAGGGGCTCCTGCCCCTGCTTGCAGCTTTTGCTTAAACTCATTCTCTGTGAATGAGATGTCTGGGATTTAAAATACTGAAGGCCAAAAAAAAAAAAAACCAAAGAAAAAACAAAAAGGAGAAACAGAAAGTGTATGGGAGAGGAGTGTGATAGATGAAACAGAATAGCAAAATGTAGATAGATGCTAAAGGTGAGGGAGTGATTTGTGATATTATTCTTTAGTTTTTTATATTTGAAAATGTCCATTAAAACAATACCCTCCTCCCCCTCTTCTTTCTCTCCCTGTCTCTGTCCCCTTTGCTCGATGTAAATTCATGTTTTCCTTCTTACTTCATCCCTGCAGGGTACAGAACATCCTGCTCCAAAGGCATGAGAAGAGAACATCCTGTATTGGCCACTCCTGCCCAGTGTGGAGAGGAGCAAAACTCCAGAGCCCACCCCTGAAGGTTTGTGGCTTTCAAGGCTTTTTTTCAATGGATCCCATTTATGGGGTGTTTTAACCAGAACTCTGGGTATTTATGATGTTGCCATCTACCAATAAGAAAACTACTGCTGACCATTTTGTTTGCTCCCTCTCCCTGACCTGTTGAGTGACACAGCCTATAACTCTTAGCAACTATATCTAATCTCCACTGAATTTAGTTGGGACCAGTCCATTAGCCTTGAGGAGAGTAGTCAGTGATGAGGCCCACAGGAGGTTCTATAAGAAAGGCTGATCCTGCTCCCAGACCAGTACCTGGACCAACTTGTCAAGAGGATTCAGGGATAACATTTGAGATAAAGGGGATAGCAGATCAGATCCCATTCCCATAAAGGGGCTTCTCTACTACTCTGGGTTCTCAGATCCCTGGAGATAGGGCAATGAGAAAAGTCTGCAGAATATTTGCAAAGAACTTGGATGACCTGAGAATTAGGAAGGAATGCTTCTTCCTTCTCCGCAGGTTTACTGAAAATGTGAAAAGCACTTCTAGGATAATGCCATTAACTTTTAATACTATTCTTTGTGGATTATTCATGTTCCTTTTTGCCCCTTTCCTGGGTCCTGAGTTGCTTTCTCAAGACTAGGCCAGAGAACTTTGAGGCTGTGTCCTGGTGCGGAGTGATTATCAGGTACTGTCCAGAGCCAAGGTGCAATACTTTGGGGTCTCTTAGATAACCATCCCTTGCCCAGGCCCCAGCCCTTTCTGAGACTTTTGCCCAGACTGCTGCTTCTGTACAGGTTTATACTTCATCTCATTGCTCTCCTTGTCCTTCCAGCTCAGATCTGGCTGGGTTCACATTGGTGACTTAGGAAACCAGGGTCTCAGAGGAAGGTGTTGATGTGGTTTAGGCTCAGGGGCCTTCTCATTACCCATCCCTCCTTGGTGTTGCCTAGTGCACCTCCAGGCCAAGGCCTCTGATCTAAGGACAGAAAACAGGCTGGGTACTCCTCATCCCCTGCTGAGCAGAGTTTTGGAAGCAGACTCTCCCTCTCTGAATCCCTCCTGCCCTTCCTGGTGGCATGAGGACACCCCCCCCCCCCGGCCAATATTTCTAGGAGTTTATGGCTTTGCCTCCTCTTGGAGAATGGAATCCAGGAGATGGCCTAGCTGAGGGAATTACAAGGAACAGGGACCCTGTGCTTGCCTCTCCATTCCCCAAGGTGTAGCTGTTGGCAGCTGTTACTGTGGCTTACAGTGACTTTCTCCGTGTAGGGCTCAGGGTGAAGGGTGAACCTGGCTGCAGCCCACCCTAAAAAAAGCTGCAGAGCCCCCCCACAAAAGAAGGAACCTGGAACCTGCAGACCCGTTTTCCAGGCCTCCCCTTCTTCCCTCTGCTACTCCCTTTGTAGGCCTTCAGAAAACTGAAAGCAGCGCGCAGTTTGAGGCGGCAGACCCCGGCGTGGGAGTGGCACACTCCAGCCCGGATCCCGAGCGCCCCCCAGCCTAGCCCTCACCATGCTCGCTGCATCAGAGACGGCGGCGGCCGCGGCAGGAAGGCCTTACGTGTGCAGTGAGTGTGGCAAGAGCTTCCGCTACAGTTCGGTGCTGCTGCGCCACGAGCGTGCCCATGGCGGCGACAGCCGCTACCGCTGCCTCGACTGCGGTGAGCGCTACGCACTGGCCGCCGACCTCCGCGCACACCGATGCGCCCACGCTGGCCAGACGCTCTACATCTGCAACGAGTGCGGCCAGAGCTTCCGTCACAGTGGCCGCCTTGACCTGCACCAGAGCACACACAGACAGCGCAGCCGCTCCTGCCCTTGCCGCGCCTGTGGCCGCAGCTTCCCACACCTCTCGGCTCTGCTGCTGCACCGCCGCCGCCGGCATCCCCCCGAGCCGCCCTGCCGCTGTCCCCTTTGCGCCCGCGCCTTCCGTCAGAGCGCGCTACGATTCCACCAGGCACGGGCACACCCGTGGGGGACACCTATCCCGCCTCTCGACCCGCTCCACCGCTGCGCACAGTGCCCACGGGCCTTCCGCAGCTACGCAGGGCTGCGGAGCCACGCACGCGTCCACACGGCCCGGAGCGCTGGTGACGCCACAGCTGCTCAGGCCCACGCTCTGGGTACACACCAGTGCAGTGTGTGCGGGAAGAGCTTTGGCAAGAGCTCCACACTAACACGACACCTGCAGACGCACTCAGGTGAGAAGCCTTTCAAGTGCCCGGAGTGTGGAAAGGGCTTCTTGGAGAGCGCCACGCTGGTGCGCCATCAGCGAACGCACACGGGTGAGAAGCCCTATGCGTGTGGGGACTGTGGGCGCCGCTTCAGCGAAAGTTCCACCCTGTTGCGCCACAGGCGCAGCCATCAGGGAGAGCGGCCACACGCATGCGCCACGTGTGGCAAGGGCTTCGGGCAGCGCTCCGACCTAGTGGTGCACCAGCGCATTCACACGGGTGAGAGGCCCTTCCCGTGCGCCGAGTGCGGCCGCCGCTTCAGCGACCGCTCTGACCTCACCAAGCACCGGCGCACACACACAGGTGAGAAGCCCTACCATTGTGAGTTGTGTGGCAAACGCTTCACATGCGTATCCAACCTCAACGTGCACCGGCGCAACCACGCTGGGCACAAGCCCCACAAGTGCCCCGAGTGCGGCAAGGCCTTCAGTGTGGGCTCCAAGCTGGCGCTGCACCGCAAGACTCACCTGGGCGAGCGGCCGGCGGAATGTGCCGAGTGTGGCAAGTGTTTCAGCCACAGCCGCTCGCTCTCCCAGCACCAGCGGGCCCACACGCGCGCTCGGGCCGCCACCCAGGCCACCCAAGCCACCGCAGGGGCTGCACTCATCTTTGCTGGGCAGGCAGAACAGGAAAAGCCGGACTTTTTGTGTCCTAGTTGAGGGACACTTGCTGAGAAGCTTCTCTGTAGTAGGCTAGGCAAGTACGGATACATTGCCACAGGGAGGTGGGCACCTCGCGGATGGAGGTCTGTGTAGATAGGTGGCTGTCGGTCGCCTTTCCACATCTTCGATGGTAGCCCTTCACCTGGACGGCTGCTGCGCCCCTACATCTACTTCCCTGGTCAGCTCTTCCTGTCCGCCAAACTCCCTGCCCTCCCCCTGGGGTGTAGGAAAACCTCCTAGACAGGGAAGAGAGCCCAGGTATTGGTATGTTCCCATTGCTGCTGCTGTGCCCTCAGAGGTTTTCCTGTTTTCCAACCTGTGTTCTATCTTCTCTCGTCCCATCCCCCTTTTCCAGCCTGAGTCTCCTCTAGCTCTCCTTCCCTCGAACTTTTGTTGTCCTGCCTCTTCAGGTAATGATCACAGATGTGGCCACAGGGACAACCCACCCGCCTTGTGGTCTTCTTGCCCCTTGGTTCTACTTAAGTCTCTGCTGCTTCCTCCCTGGGCTCAGGGATGGGAAATTTGTAGGCAGAGAGATCATGGGACAGCTCATTTCAGTGAAAGACTTTTTGCCAGAAGCAACCAGCCTGCTCCCTGGCAGAGAAGGCCCATCCAGAGTGAAGCTGGGCAGGAATCCTCAGCAAAGCACCCACCTGTCCCATGGACAGACCTGATGGTGTCCAGATCAAAGTGCCTCTCAGGGCAATATTCTCCAGCTGGGGGGGGGGGGCAGGGCATTAACTTCGGGACCTAGACAGAGACCACATGGGGTCTATAAAGCAGAGTATTGCCAAGTGGAGCATCAGAATGTTATTTCCAGAGAGAGGACTACGGCCCACACCTATGGTGCCACACCTATACTTCCGAAGGAATCAGGATTCCTGAGCTTCAGGTGTCAAAATACTCACTCTGCCCACACATGTCCATGTAAAATACTGGGTTTATTCTGTCCTTTAGGAAGACTAAAGTAGCCTGGCTTGGTTTTGCCCCCACCCTGCACTCCCTGTGACCCTGATTTCTGGGGACCAGGCACCTGGCACTTCTCTTCCTCACTCCTCTTCAGTCTCCAGGGTCTGGCTCCTCAGAGCTCAGGAATGCTCACTGCTGAGGGAGCACAGTCAGAGCCTGAGGAACCACAGAGGGCCTGGACTCATCACCAGACCTCGGGGTCACAGAGGCAGAGATGCTGGGACAGGGCTCCAATGGGCCGGGTGACTCTTGCGGGGCTGGGAGCAGGGCTGGATGGCTTTTGCTGCAGTGAGCTGCAACACTGTCTGGCTTCTCAAAGCGCTTGCCGCAAAACTCACAGGGGAAGCGCAGAGTAGCGGCTGTCTCTGCGTGCTTGCGCCGGTGCCAGTTCAGGGAGGCCTTCTGGCGGCAGGTGAACCCGCAGATCTCACACCTGAGCCAGGGACAGCAGAGGGAAGGGCAGGGCTTCAGCCCATCTTGACTTCCCCAGGGGTTCCCCCTCCTTCAGCTGTGTCTTGCTGGTCCCCCTGGCAGCCCTACCTTCCCACCCATACTCCCCCACACTCACTGCAGGGGTTTCTCTCCAGTGTGGATGCGCCGGTGGATGACAAGGTTGCTGCTGGTGCGGAAAGACCGGGCACAGAACTCACAGATGTAGTCCCGGGTGTCTGCGGGTTCACAGGGGTCACCCCAGCATCCATCCTCAGGCCATGGCCCCTCCTCAGCCCAGCCCACCTGTCAGCCCTCACAGGAGTACTGTCCCCAATTCAACCTGCTTATCTCACCCCTCCCAGCCCCCAGCAGTGCCCTGTGGCTGTCAATCTGCTCCATTTTCCCTGATCTGCCTCCCTACCAGCACTAACCACCTGCCCTCTGTGCTTCCCCTGCCACAGGCCTGCTGTGGATTCTCTCCTCTACCTCCAAGTCTCTGGGCAGGCCATACACGAGGCATCCCTGTGGCTCATGGCATCCTTTACACATCTGTCTCACAACCCCTTGGGAGCCCATCATTACACCACCACATTCCCCAAATCTCTGACTCCAGGCCCTCTCCTCAGCCATTACTCGTGCTACTGCTTTGTTTTCTACACGTCCAGCACCCCACATTTCTGTTCCCTGACCTTCACTGACCTGGTCTCCCACCCTTCTCAGCCACCACTCCCAGGTCATGCCCCATCACTGCACCTCCTTGAAACTGCAGTTTCAGCAAGGGCCTTCTTCGTCCTGCTACAATAAGCCTGGGACTCCACGCTGCCAGTCCAGCAGCCCGCTGCCTTCCCACTGTCCCCCTCCACACTCCTCTCCTAGGTCCCTTTCCAGGGCATCTTTGTAGCCTCCCTTCGCTCACACTACGAATTCACTGGCCGCTCTCTCCCTTAGCTGTACCTGTTCGGTTAAAATCCAGCTCAAAGTAAACACAACTCTTGGCCTGCTCCAGGAATACAGAGGTGTGGTAAGGGGAGCAGAAACACAACCCACAATCCGTTCACCTACGCCTTGGCCTCTCCTTTTCATCCACAACCACAAGTCCCAAGGGCCCACCATAAGCCTCTGCATTTTCTTGGTCAGTTCACTCTGCCACTCTCAGGAGCCCAGAAGGCCATTTTCCATACCACCTCCTCTCTCTGCTAGCTCATTCAGCAGGGACCTCATTTTTCAAGTCACCAAGGAGAGAGAAGCCAGGAGAGAATAACCACATAGTCCCCCCCACCTAATCCCTCAGCCAACTTGCTTCTGTGCCCATATATGTGACTGTTCCTTGCTCCACTGCAGTCACCCTCCAGCTGTGCAGAGATACACTGCTTCTCCCTGACCGGAGGTTCCCCCCACCCCCCAACCTAGGCATCAGGAAGCCTTTTCTCTCAGTGGGATCATTCCCATCTGTAACCCCAAACCTACAGCCCTCCAGCTAAGACCCCCTTTCTCTACTTGTCTTCACAGCAACACTCCAGAGAGTGGCCCATACTCACTATCTCTACTTCCCCAGCTCCTCCCTGCCTTGAACCCACTCCATTCTGGCTGTCCTCCCTTGTCATCTAGTCAAAGGTGGCTTCCCACCACGTCCAGCGGCCTGTCCTCATGTTGCTCAGTCTCATTGCACTAGCATAACCCACCCTCCCCTCCCCGCTAGAGCACTCTCTCCACTTGGCTCCTCAAATACTGCTGTCTTCATCTGCCTCACTGGCCGCTTGGGAGCTGCCCTTCTTGCCTGCCCTGTTCAGAACTCCTTTCTACCAATGCTCACTCCATGTAGCTACATTCCACCTTCACTCCAAATACCACCCATGTGTTTGTGATGAACACATTTTTTTTCCCCCAAACATCTCTGGAATCCAGAGTCACATCTTGTGGGATGCCTAAATTAGCATGTCCCAAATAAAATGTCCCTTTCCTAAAGCCCGCCTCTCCCCCTTTTCAGGAAATCTCATCACCTCTGCCCAGGTGCTCAGGCTGGAATCCTTCAAGTCAGCCTCGACACCCTCCTGCCCATCCACCTGTGGCCAGTCTGTCCTCACAGCAGCCCCCTGCCTCCACCTTCATGCTCACATGAGCCTCTAGCCACTCCCCCCAACCAACTCGACTGGACCAGCATGTCAAGGCTGCTCTCCCTGCATGCTGCACATGCCTACAGTCCCATTTGTCCACATGGCAGTCACTTTGCTCCTTTTAAAGTCAGTTGTGTCCTTCTGCTATACAAGACGCTGAGATGCTGCCCATCTCGTCTGGCCAGAAGCCAAGCCATGCTGATTGTAATCCTGGAGACCCCCACCACTGTCTGACCTCTTTTCCTCCCTTTCTAACTTCCAGGCCTCCTCTCCCTCCCTTCCTGGAACATGCCACACAGAAGCCAGCTCAGGGCCTTTCCAGTGCTGCCCATAGACATGGACAAGGCCCCATTCCTCCCTTCACTTAGGTCTTTGCTTAGGGCACCTTCCCTTTCTACCAGAGAGACTCCTCCCTCATGCTCTCCTTCCCCTTCTGGGCTTTATATACATGTCTATATCCCTGTTATCACTAGAGTGGACGTCATATGAAGTAAGGACTGCCCTCTGTTCCCTGTTGTATCTCAGCACCTAGAACAGTCTCAAGCAGGCAGGTGCTCACCACACAGAGAACTGAGGGTGAGAGTCATCCCACAAGGGAGGTGAAGGGACCCCCAGGGGGAGCGGACAGGACCCACATGGAGAAGTGAAGGCACCGACGGGGGGAGGTGAAGACATCCTCGCTCCCAGCGAGAGGTAAAGGCACCCACACGAGGCATCTCTACCACTCACCACTGTGCAGTTTAACATGCTCCTTCAGGTGTTTCTTAAAGTTGAAGGACTTCCCACAGGCTGGCTCTGGGCAGGAAAAGGACTTTTGGTGGATGTGCTGATACTTCTTGTGGTGCTAGGAAAGGAAACAGGTGGTGTCAGGGAAACCACCCGAGCTGGCCCAGCAGGCAGGCTCCTCTGCCCCTTGTTTCCCCACAGCAATTCTCTCACCACTAGCTCACATCATCCTGGCCAGTCCTAATCCGAGTGCAAGCACCCCCTCCTGTCCTGACACCAAACTCTGCCCTCATCCTATTCTGTCCTTGATTTGCATTATCTCACATTTTTGCCACAACCTTCCTTACAAAGCCCAGTTCCCTGAACAAAGTGCCATTCTGGTGACACTCTTGGTTCCCTAACCATGGAGCTTCTGTCTGCTGGGAATGAGAACACAATTTGGGTAGGTATGATTATCCTCTTCACTATCAGTGTACAATAATATTGCCCAGATTGCCTACTTTATTAATAGCTCATCACGGGTACATATTATATGATGTTTTCCTAAACCTGCTTTGGAAACACACACACACACACACACAAACACACACATGCTTGCTCTCAACCTGGAACACTTTTAAGGGTAGTCTGTTCTTTCACTCCCTGAGTATGTCTGGGAAATAGTTATCCTGTCTGATCTAATTTTACATCGTGGCTCCATAAACTGCATGGGCTTTCCCCTTTTCTATAATCCCACTTTCCCATTGTAAAACTGCTGCTTGAGGCTGCTTCAGTCTTCTTCATTAACAGGCTCCTGTGTGTTTCCCTAGCCCCACTAAAGTTCTTATCCCAGAGCTTTCCTACCCTTGTTTGCTCTCCCAAATCCCATACACCCTTGTTTCACCATCCCTTTGGTCTGGGCTCTCCCTCAACTTCAGGACGTGGTCTGGGAGGGCTCTGGGTAAGTGTGGGGGCCGTGGCCCTTCCCTCTTTGTGTCTCAAACCTTTCCTGCAGTGAGGCTGCATCTTCTGGTTCTCTGGCTCTAGAACTACCCACTCCTGCCAGCAGGGCCAGGTGGCTGAGGGTGGACTCTGGAACCCCAGCACTACCACACACTAGCCTTCTGTGTGCCTCAGTTGCCTCATCTGCAGAAGGAACAGTATCAGCACCTACTCCCTAGGGATGTTTTGAAGATCAAAAGACTTGACCCACATCAGGTGCTTAGAACAGTTGCTAGCATTCCAAGAGCCTGAGGAATGCCATCGTTATCCCCATATGACCCTTGCAGGGCCCATGCAACCAGCAGTCGTGGACAGCAGCTGTGCACCTGAGGCTTGGTTTTCTGCCTTATCTACCAGTTGTCTGGCTTAGTGATTATTAACTGTAGGTAAGCTCTGCAGGTCCACCCCAACCCTTCTCTTCCTATCTCCAAATCCACCCACACCCCAAGCTTCTTTGCTTCAGCTTCTCCTTCACCTCAGCATCTCCTTAAGCCCTTTTCATATACCTCTGAGGCCACACAGAACCCAATCTATGCCCCTCATGTCCTCACATTCAAATACTGCCGATTGGAGAAGATCCTTCCACAGCCAGGGAAGTCACAAGGTAGCAGTTCTCTTTTGGCAGCTTTCCTGGGGGAGGAGGATAGGCAGGAGCATAAGAACTCCCACAGGCTCTCCTCAGCCGCCTCCTCTCACTCCCTGCCCCAAGGCCCCCTCCCCCAGGCCTACCTAATTCTCTTGGGGCCGATCTGTGCCGTGTCTTCCTCCCAGGCCAAGGTCAGAGCAGACTGGGCCTGACTCCCAGGGCTACGGGCAGCAAAGAGGGAGCAGAGGGCCTCGAGAGAGGGCCATGTCCCGGGATGCCCCTGCCCTCTGTCTCAGCCATCAGGTTACCTGGCCAGGGGCTCAGTCTGCTGGGCTGCTTGAGGGGTCCCTCTGAGTTCCGGCTGTACCCCAACTTCCGTAGGCAGAAGAGCTCCAGAACCCAATGATGATGTTGATGAGGATGGTACAGCAAGAGGATTGAGGGGAGCTGCTGGGGCCGGGGATGTCTCCCCCTCAAGTGCATGGGTGACAGGGGAAGGAAGTACTCTGGGGGCATCTGGATCACTGCTGAAAAGAGAAGAAAGAGGAGGGCATTATCTCCCTGGGCTCTCAGCTAGCCTTCAACCCAACCCCAGCCCCTAAATTGCAAAGATCCCAAACTCAGAACAACCCTACCCGTACCCCAGGATTTCTGTTTACACCTGCTTTCAGCTTTCATTCTCCTCTAAGCCTAACTTCATCCCCTTTCCCCAATTGAAAGCCTCCAATTCTTTCTGCCTTCCCCACCAATAAGCCTTTCCCTTGAGTCTGGAAAGCTTGGGATCCCTGACCAGCTGCTCCCTCCCTCCTGCTCTGTTTAACATCTTCCCACAACCGCAACTTGCTCATCTGGGGAGGAGCTGTAGGTCCATGGGCTGGCATCACTGAGCATCTCCTCTTCATCCTCATCTTCCTCCTCCCTCTCTTCTCCTGGGGTTGGGAAGGTCTCCAGTAGGGGTCCCACTTCCCTGCTGGACCAAGGAAGGGAAGCCTCAGGCTCTGCTCCCTCACCTGCACTGTTCACCCGAGTCTATCCTTTCCCTCCCACCCCCAACCTCACCTGGGCAACCTGGCCTCCTGAGTTCTCTCATCATGCTCAGATTCCAAACCTGTTGGCACAGGTAGGGTCAAAGGGGAAGGAACTCTGGGCTCGGGGGATGAGGACAGGTATACTTCTAAGGTCTGAAGTGGTGGGAGGACTCGGGAAGAAGGAGGAGGGTGCAGATGCTACTGGGATGGGAAGGGGTATTTTGCTTTAGAAATGATACATTCACATAGTTCAAAAAACAAAAGTATAAAAAGGTACACTTTGAAAAGACTCTTTTTCCAATATTGTCCCCCAATCACCTAGTTCTTCCCACAGAGAACCTGGTTTCCTACATGCCCTTCCAGAGATATTTTATATATTCATAAATAAATATATATGTGTGTATATATATGTGTGTGTGTATATGTGTGTATCTCCTTATTTTTCCACCAATGGTAACACAACATACATCTTATTCTGTATTTTGCTTTTTAGGCCTAAAAACATATTTGAGGAAAAAAATATATATATATATTTGAGGATAATTTTTAGAAAATGGAGTTCTAAGCTACAGAGAGGGAGCCATTTTCCCTCGCTTTTCTTCACAACTCTTCTTTCCTGCAGCCTACCTGCAGGCTCCAGCCCGCTCCTGGCCTCCGGGCACCAGCTTCTCCGGGCAGTATTTGGACAGGACACTGGCTTGGGCTCCTCTGGAGATATGGAGCCTGAAGAGGGACCCCAGGAGAAGGTGTGGCCTGCAGAGCACTCCCACACAAGCCCCCCATCTTGGCCCCCGGGCCCCCGAAGCCCCGGCACCAGGCTGCACTCTCGGCTGTGGGCATGAGACAGGAGCACCAGATACTGCAGACCCTTGGGGGGCAAAGGCTCAGGACCTGAAGTGGTGAAGGCAACAGTCAGGGCAAGCTGGGAAGCCGCCTACTCTCTCACCCTGGGACCACACCCTCACAGCCCTGTCCCCCAACCCCCTGGGCAAGGCCAGTCCCTAGTTCAGTTTACCATTTTTCAGAGCCCAGAACCCCCAAGGTCCTGAGACATCACTCTCTTGTCCACGGGCTGCCCCCATCAAACTACCTTGGGCTCCCCAACTACCCCACCTTTTTCCAAACTCACTCAGGGTCCCCTCTGATCCAATCCCCCTCAGGAGGGTGTTTCTGGGTCACATCACTCCCTGTTGCCCCTCTTCCCTCCCTGGCTCCTGAACCCCAACCTCTAGTTATTTCCTACCTACCCGCACAGAGCACACAGCCTGAAGAAGTGTACCTGCGAGGGGAAAGAGGAGGGTGGGGGAGAGGGGAGGCAGTTTAGGTAGGGATCCAGGCCAACTGCCCTCAGCCCTCAGCACTCACACACTTTCGGACCCCCTATTCTCTGGAGACCAAGAGGAGGGCAAGGGACCCAGAGAGCCCACAAATCACACAGGCTGTTCTGCTGAAATGAGACGCGGGGGCCCGCACCTGACCCAGGGAGGGGACTGGGTGTTGCAATCTGGGGGTTCCCTCCCCTAGAGCCCCGCCCCGGCCCCTAACCGGTCCAACAGGAACTTAGCGAGCTGCGAGTGCAGGGAGAAACCCAGCCGCTCCTTGAGGAGGCACCACTGCTCCATGTGGCCGCCCAGGCGGATGCGGCACTTGCTGCGGCGCGCGTCCAGCTGCCGCCGCTTCTCCTGCCGCCTGCGAGATGCGTCCACCGGGGAGGAAGCCATGGGCACCAGGACCTACAGGGTGGAGGAGACACGCGTCCGGGCAGACCTCATCTTGGGCCCGAGACCCTGACTCCACCCGCCGCTGGGGCCTCAGTTTCCTCATCGGTGAACTGGAAGCAAGACTAAGTCATTTCAGTAGCATCCGCTGCCACTGGGCCCACACCACCCCAGCTTACGTTACAGGGCAGTAGCGCCGTGGAGGGGGAGGTAGGGAGACAGGGTCAAAGTCAGAACAATGGCCCGACCCCGAGCATACTGAAGTGTAGAAAGCGAGCTGTGGGGAAGGGGCGTGAAGCTTTCACGGAGAAATTTCAACTGGGGCTGGACGAGGGGCAGGTAACAATTTCACCTTGAAGAGAGCATAGGCCTTTACTGCCTTTACTGGTTGACGGGGGAAGGGGAGGTGGTGTCTACTGGGGGCGCTTTTCATAGCGGGGTGAATGTGGGTGGGACTGGGGTCTGGAGGGCGCTCCCACCCCGTCTCGGGCCGCCCCACTTAACGCTCACTATGCGTGGGACAGGCCAATTCCAAGGGCAGCTCCCAGGCCACCGGGAGCGCCCGCCGCGGTCCACCCCCACCCGGCCTTACCTGCGAGCCCCCACCCGCCCTCAGCCCGACTGCGCCTGCGCCTCCTCCCGCCTCGCGCGCAGGCCTGGAGAGCGGCGGGAGGATGAGGGCCCACCTCTCGCGCACCGCGGCCGTTTCTCTTTTAAGAGGAACCCGTCCCCCTCCGCCTCGGTGGCTCCAGCCCGGAACAGGGGCCCGGACTGCTGCGAGGGGACAGGCCGAGGCTGGCGGCGCGCGCCTGCGCACTGGCCGCCGAGCGCACCGCCTGCCGGGAGGCGTAGTTCCCGCAGGAATTACCCAGGCGTGTCGCTGAGCCGCTGGGAAGCTAGGGAGCGGTGGCTTCTGTTCGCGAGTCCCTGCGCTTGATGGGGAAATGTATAGAGCCAAACCCTACCCCTGTGTGCCAACCCCAGCCCCTCCAGCCTGCTCAGGGGTGTCGCCTCCACAACGGTCCCTATTGTGTACTTCACCAACAATTTCTCCCTCTCAATCGCCACCGACGTGCAAACACGTGTGCAGAATCAGCCACCTCAAAAACCAACTAGACGCCTTTCTAGAACCATCCATCTGTGGACTCTTCCCTCTGAGGCATCAAAAGTCTTCTGAAACGTTGCCCAGATTTGCTGGGGACTCTTCTTCACTTCCCATTCTCTCTTCAAATGACTCCAGAGAAGCTCTCCTCTCCATCAAGCCTCTGGAATGGTGCTTCTCAAAGTCACTTGCTGCGACCTCTTGGCCTTCAGAGCAACATCTGACAATGTAGATCTTTCCCTCCATACTCCTCTTCCCCAAACCCCAATGGCTTCTGTGACTTCACACTTTCCTGTTTTTCTGCCTTCCTCATTTGCTCCTCCTTTCCTTTGTTGGAGCCTCAACCACTGTACCCCCAAAATATAGAGTCCCCATGGATTGGAATCAAGACCAAATACTCTCTTTTATCTCTTCTTGAGTGATCTAATTGTCCCATGGATTTATTATTTTTTTCTTCCAGGTTTTTATGTAACTTGCAGTTAGTGAACATACAGAGTAATATTGGTTTCAGGTGTAGGATTTAGTGATTCCTCACTTACATATAATACCCAGTGCTCATCACAACCTGTGCCCTGCTTCATACTCATCACTTATTTAACCCATCCCCCACACCCAACCACCCTCCAGCAATCCTCAGTTCGTTCTCTATAGTTAGGAGTTAGCTTTGTGGCTCCTGGGTGGCTCCAGTCATGATCAGGGGGTCCTGGGATGGAGCCCCCCACACCCTGGGACTCATTGCTCAGTGGGGAGTCTACTTCTCCCTCTGCCCTCCCCCCGCTCGTGTGTGCTCGCGCTCTCTCAAATAAATAAGTAAATTTTTTTTGAAAAAGAGTCTGGGCGCCTGGGTGGCTCAGTTGGTTGGGCATCTGCCCTTGGCTGGGGTCATGATCCCAGACTCCCCAGGTGGAGTCCCACATCAGGCTCCCTGCTCAGCGGGGAGTCTGCTTCTCCCTCTGCCCTTCACCCTGCTTGTGCTCTCTCTTGCTCCCTCTAGAAAAAAAAGAGTCTGTTCTTCCTCACTCCTTTTTTTTTTCTTCTCCCTACCTGTTAGTTTTCTTAAATTCCACATATGAGGGAAATGATGTGATGAGATTTGTCTTTCTCCGACTGATTTATTTCACTTAGCATAATATACTCTAGCTCCATCCTGTTGTTGCAAATGGCAAGATTTCATTCTTTTTGATGGCTGAGTAATATCTATATATAGATATATATATCACATCTTCTTTACTCATTTTATCCCTTCATTAGTAGATGAACATATGAACATTTGGTCTCTTTCCATAATTTGACTATTGTGTACATTGCTGCTATGAACATCTGGGCGCATGTACCCCTTCAAATCAGTATCTTTGTATCCTTTGAGTAAATACCCAGTAGTGCAATTGCTAGATCATAGGGTATTACTATTTTTACTATTTGAGGAACTTCCATACTGTTTTCCAGAGTGACTGCACCAGCTTGCATTCCCACCAACAGTGAAAGACGTTCCCCTTTCTCCACAACCTCACCAACATCTCTTGTTTCTTGTGTTGTTAATTTTTCCCATTACAGCAATGTGAGGTGGTATCTCATCATGATTTTGATTTGTATTTCCCTGATGATGAATGATGTTGAACATCTTTTCATGTGTCTGTTAGCCATCTGGATGTCTTCTTTAGAAAAACGTCTATTCATGTCTTCTGCCTATTACTTAACTGGATTATTTGTTTTCTGGGTGTTGAGTTTAATAAGTTCTTTATATATTTTGGACAGTAACCCTTTTATCTGATATATCATTTGCAATTATCTTCTCCCATTCCACAGGCTGCCTTTTAGTTTTGTTGATTGTTTCCTTCACCGTGCAGAAGCTTTTTATCTTGATTTAGTGAGCTGCGGGGAAGCTGGGGAGCGGTGGCTTCTGTTTATTTTTGCTGCTGTTTCCCTTGCCTCTGGAAACGTGTCTACTAAGAAGTTGCTACTGCTTAGGTCAGAGGTGTTCCCAGTGTTCTCCAGATTCTGAGGGTTTCCTGTCTCACATTTAGTTCTTCCATCCATTTTGAGCTTATTTTTGTGTATGGTGTAAGAAAATGATCCAGTTTCATTCTTCTGCATGTGGCTGTCCAATTTTCCCAGCACCACATTTTGAAGAGACTGTCTTTTTTTCCATCAGATATCCTTTCCTGCTTTGTCAAAGATTAGTTGATCATATAGTTGTGGGTCCATTTCCGAGTTGTCTATTCTATTCCATCGATTGATGTGTCTGTTTTGCAGTCAGTACCATACTGTCTTGATGACTACAGCTTTGTAATATAGCTTGAATTCGGAATCCTCATGCATCCAGCTTTGATTTCCTTTTTTGAGATTGCTTTGTTATTTGGGGTCTTTTGTGGTTCCATATAAATTTTAGGATTGTTTGTTCTAGCGATGTGAAAAATGCTCTTGGTATTTTGATAGGGATTGTGTTAAATGTGTACATTGCTTTGGGTAATATAGACATTTTATATTATATTATTTTATTTTCTTGGTATGCAAATAGCCAACATATAGTACATTATTAGCTTTTGGTGTAGTGTTCAATGATTCATTATTTGCGTATTAACACCCAGTACTCATCACATCGTATGCTCTCCTTAATGCCCACCACCCGATCACCCCCTCCCCCCACCCCACCCGTCCAGCAACCCTCAGTTTGTTTCCTGGATTCAGGAGTCTCTCATGGTTTGTCTCACTTGTTGATTTCTCCCCATTTAGTTTTCCCTCCCTTCCCCTATGGTCCTCTGTGCTATTTCTTCTATTCCACATATGAGTGAAACCATATAATAATTGTCTTTCTCTGATTATTTCACTTAGCATGATACCCTCCAGTACCATCCATGTCGATGTAAATGGTAGGTATTCATCCTTTCTGAAGGCTGAGTAATATTCCATTGTAAATATGTACCACATCTTCTTTATCTATTCATCTGTTGAAGGGCATCTCGACTCCTTCCACAGTTTGGTTATTGTAGACATTGCTGTTATGAACATAGGGGCAGGTGCCCCTTCTTTTCACTACATCTGTATCTTCGGGTAAATACCCAGTAGTGCAATTGCAGGGTCGTAGGGTAGCTCTATTTTTAACATCTTGAGGCACCTCCATACTGTTTTGCAGAGTGGCTGTACCAGCTTGCATTCCCACCAACTGTGTCAGAGGGTCCCCTTCTCCACATCCTTGCCAACATTTGTTCTTCCCTGTCTTGTTAATTTTAGCCATTCTGGCATGAGGTGGTATCTCATTATGGTTTTGATTTGTATTTCCCTGATGACAAGTGATGTGGAGCATTTTTTCATGCGTCTGTTGGCCATTTGGGTGTCTTCTTTGGAGAAGTGTCTGTTCATGTATTCTGCCCATTTCTTGACTGGATCGCTTTGCTTCTTTGCTTTTTGGGTGTTGAGTTTGATAATTTCTTTATACATCTTGGATACCAGCCCTTTATCTGTAGTGTCATTTGCAAATATCTTCCCCATTCTGTGGGTTGCCTCTTAGTTTTGTTGACTGTTTCCTTTGCTGTGCAGAAGCCTTTTATCTTGGTGACATCCTAAATGTTCATTTTTGCTCTTTTAGGATGGAATGTTCTACATAGGTCTGTTAAATCCTTCTGCAGAGTCCCTGTGTTTATGGTGGGGGATGGGGGAGGAAAATGGCAACTGCCAGCTCCCTTGTTTTCAGAGAAGTCCCCCAACATGCTCCAAAATTATTACAAATAGGTCTGTCTCCCATTTGTCCCCTGGCACTGTGTGAACTGCCATTTTTACGTTGCCTTCCATGTGGACTGCTATCTCTTTAAGGGGTGCAACCCAGCTATCACTCACACTCCTGGCCGACCCTGTCAGCAGATTTTTAAAGCTCCAGCCTCCAAGTCCCAACTGTTTTTACAAACTCATGGATTTCAGCCCCTCTGGTTTTTAAAGCCAAGTTTTATGGGGTTTAGTATTACCCGTGCGAGCTCCGTGATGGGAAGCCCCATTTCTCTGTCCTCTCCATGTGTGCCCTCCTGGGGGCAGTCTCCCTCCACCTTTCTGACCTTCCTAACCTATGAGATGCAGCTTCTTCTCCATATTTAGTTGTGGAGTTTGTTCTGTCAGTCTTTGGATCACTTCCTGGTTTATTGACTTGGATGTGGAAGATCTCTAGTTGTAAACGTGGGATGGGATGAGCTCAGGGTCCTCTACTCTGCCATATTCCCGAGCTCCAGATTTGTAACTCTGTGTTAAAACATATATAGCCCTGCCCGGAGCACTCTCTTCTTTGTGAAGATTATGTATCCTGATACAATTCAAGTCCTTGGGCTCAAATAAAAGTCTCTTCCTTTTTTTTTCTTTTAAAGGTTTTATTTATTTGTCAGAGAGAGAGACAAGGAGAGAGAGAGCACAAGCAGGGAGAGCAACAGGCAGAGGGAGAAGCAGGCTCCCTGCTGAGCAAGGAATCTGATGC